CCCCCCCTGTCTATAGACGCATTGTGTGTCACAGATAGAAATCTAACTCTCCGCTCCGCTCCTTATTATGTGATGTCTGCACAAGTAAGGGAATGATAGATAAGTAACATGTTTTTTTAATTTTTACAATTATTGACTTTCTGTGTTTGCATGCAGTACATACTGAGGTCCTCGCATATCACCAATTATAAGTCCAGCGCAGTTAATGCAGAGCTTTTCTTATCTGAAACGAGGATTACTGCAAAACCTGCTTCTAAGCCCTTTGGCTCTAAAGAAGTTCAGAAAACTTTTCTTGCTACTTTTAAAGCTGTTTAAATAATTCTAATCACTTGTATCTGTGAATAAGAATCAGATAAATACAGGTTATCATATCTGTTTCTAATTCATGAATGTATCTATTGTTACTTTGGGGTGTTGTAATATTCGGATATATCATATCACATTCGATAATTTTGTGTAAATAATTCAGCATTGTTTTGTGAAAAGATAGTGTCTTTATGTCACAGATGGTGGATTGGCTATATATGTAATGTGCGTCTAGGAGTCATTTTGCTGTGACAGGAAGAGGAAGTTGAAGCGTGTCCGTGGTGTTTCCATGGAGACCCATTTTGTGGCTAAAGTCTGAGAATGATGTACCGGATATGATTAATATCAGCTAATGCCCGGCAGGAAATGAAGTGATGATGTCATCTGCAGAGGTTCATTTCTGTCTTTCTCACACACATACTGTATATACATAAACACACATGCATACACATAGACAAAAATCTCTATCCAGGGCCTTTAAATCTTGTGCAGTTACTCTCAAACACACACAACCGCACACAGACTAATAAAGACCAACATCGAGGTTCCTCCGATCAGCCCTTTACACGTAGCCACTCGCTCTGGTCAGAGTGAGTAATAAGTGGGTTTCTAATAAGAACATTCTCCTCAGCCCTGCTGGGACATTATCTGTGTGCATACAAATGTACTTAATATGAGTGAGGATCACCCATAGTCCTGCCGTGGCATTAATCATATTTCATTGCTCACAGCTAATCTGTAATGAGATCAGAATGTCCGACAGCTCCCGCAGAGTTTCCCACAGACCAGATATCAAGAGAGACTTATTAGTAGCACCGAGCATGTGTGTGCAACTTTGTGCGTGTGATCATGCACCGCCGTAGTGCTCTTGTCTTAAATTGGATTATTTTAAAATGGGTGTTTATGGATTGTGTTTGAGCCTCCAGACATGCCTTCTGCCATTCATCATCCAAAATGGCACTATTTAGGTCCTCTTTTATTTTCTGAGGAACCTTGAGAACCATCCAATATAATTCCAAAGAAACGAGAAATGAGGCCTCTCATGGAGTGATGGTTTATCATCATTTCTTCCATAGAAGTGAGAGTAGACATTAGCCTCATCCCAATACCCCTCCTTGACTCCTCCTTTCCCTCACTCACGTCCCTTCCTTGCATCTTAGCTCCGCCTCCGTAAGATGCGAGCGAGAGACACGAGGAGGTGACGCGAGGACAGAGGAGTCCTCAGGTATTAATTGGGATGTCCTCGTTCACTCAAACGTCACTCTTAAACGACGTCTGTTAATGATGACATGTGCACAGCTGTATCCCCTCTCATCGGGCTTAACTGAATAACTCTTTAGAACCGGCCCATTTCTGGTTAAATATTTATTTAAATGAATGGTTCTTTCTCTTGTGTCAGTCAAGGAATTCAATGTATGATGGTTGGTCCTGCTTTTGTGTTCCGTTTTGGTGTAAAATGTAGCCTACATTTAAATAAAACTATAATTATAGTAATGTGAAAGCCTTTTAGAAATGAATTGCACATAATAATTCCCACGGAGCTGTGAGCACTTATACATTTATGTGACGCTTTCCCACTCATTTTCCAGTTCTCCGTTTTCCTCTGTTGAAATCGACCAGCTGTGAAGGTGGGGCGTTTATACGCGAGTAGTGAAAGCACTTCCNAACTCAGCATTCTTTCTCCTCCAAACACGTCTAGTTGAGTTTTTACCAAAAAGTTCTATTTTGGTTTCATCTGACCATATGACATTCTCCCAATCCTCTTCTGGATCATCTAAATGCTCTCTAGCAAACATTAAACGGGCCTGGACATGTACTGGCTTAAGCAGGGGGACACGTCTGGCACTGCAGGATTTGAGTCCCTGGCGGCGTAGTGTGTTACTGATGGTAGCCTTTGTTACTTTGGTCCCAGCTCTCTGCAGGTCATTGACTAGGTTCTTGTGATCATTTTGACCCCACGGGGTGAGATCTTGCGTGGAGCCCCAGATCGAGGGAGATTATCAATGGTCTTGTATGTCTTCCATTTTCTAATAATTGCTCCCACAGTTGATTTCTTCACACCAAGCTGCTTACCTATTGCAGATTCAGTCTTCCCAGCCTGGTGCAGGTCTACAATTTTGTTTCTGGTGTCCTTTGACAGCTCTTTGGTCTTGGCCATAGTTGAGTTTGGAGTGTGACTGTTTGAAGTTGTGTACATGTGTCTTTTATACTGATAACGAGTTCAAACAGGTGCCATTAATACAGTTAACAAGTGGAGGACAGAGGAGGCTCTTAAAGAAGAAGTTACAGGTCTGTGAGAGCCAGAAATCTTGTTTGTTTGTAGGTGACCAAATACTTATTTTCCACCATAATTTGCAAATAAATTCTTTAAAAATCAGACAATGTGATTTTCTCATTTTGTCTCTCATAGTTGAGGTATACCTAGGATGAAAATTACAGGCCTCTCTCATCTTTTTAAGTGGGAGAACTTGCACAATTGGTGGCTGACTAGATACTTTTTTGCCCCACTGTATGTATGAATTAACATAGCCTCAGTAGAGTGTTCTCATTAGGTGTCGAGAATGTGGAGGATCATACCAGTTGAAAGACCTCTCGCTCTCTAGATGTAAGATGAGAACGTATTACCCTTTCGTCTCCTCTCAGATTCAACAAATCCCTCTCCCTAATTGCTCGGAACTGCTAGCATGAAAGCGTCCTTTAATATTAAATATTAGTAATGATCTGCACTCGGTTTGTTTCTGCAGTCATTGTTACATTTATGTGATTATGCTGCAAAAGAAGAGATTCTAAGAAGCGGTGCTCCTGTTCCTCTGGGTTCCTGCATTGGTCTGATTGGATGAAGATTTAGAGTGCTGGCTTAAATTATTCACACACACTCAGGCACACACACACTGCCCATGGTGTAGTGAAGGTTTAGAATATTTTAGCACTTCAAGACGGTACAAGCTGTAAGATAAACGAACAAAAGGAAGAAAAATAACAAAATGTATTTTGTCAATGTTGAATGAGTGTTTACAGCTATGCCTTTTGTTTCAAAAGCTGAAAGCTGTGTGGGTTGGATTCAAAGTTAGTTTTACTCTATTATTTTTACAATTGATGGAAAATACAAATGGTCCAAATAGCTTCCTGTGGCTTGGTGATATTGTCAAGACAAATTCATACTGGCAGTCAATGAGCTGTTCACTGCATTATCTGCAATTACTCTGTATAAAACAAAAGCCGAATACTGATTGTGTATGAAGTGGAAGTTATTGCAAGAATTATTCATTTTCAAACCATAGGGCTGAGAAATCACTATTTGGACTTGTGCAATATCAAAATCACAGGAGGGGCAATTGGTGTTATTCTGAATTAAGTAAGTGTGCAGTTGGTGCTCTAGAATCAAAAGCTGATCAGAGTGGCACTAATAACTTAATGAATGAGCTATAAATATCAGCTATATCAGCTATGTGGAATATAAGAGTGATTTAGGGACCAACATCAAGCCCAAGTTAACATTAAACATTGCCC